CACCCACACACACACACACACACACACACACACACCCCTGGTCTCTAACCTTCTAGATTCATGTAAGGTTTCTGCTACAGTCCAGAGGCTCCAGATCATATATCTCCCAGACAACTCACCCTGCAGACACAAGAGTAACGATCGCTCACAGTCACCTGAGTCTACGTGCTAACGTTTTACATTCTCTGCCTCACCTTCTTCTCACAAGACACCTATGGAGGAGGCAGTGTTACTCTTAGCTGATGGGTGGAGAAACGAGAGTGAGACAAGACCCAAGTCTGAATTCTAACATCCCCATTTCAAGCTGTGTGATGCCAGGCAAATGAACCACAGGGACGGACAAATCCACGCTCTTCACCCCACTCTGCTGCCCCCACCTCAGACTCACCAGGCCCAGGAAGGACTTGGGGTCAGAATCGGGGGAGTCCGAGAGCTGCAGCTCCTTCACATGTTCACTAATCTCCGACTCCTGGGGGAAACAGACCCACCGAGAAGTTACCCAGAGCATGAGCGTGGGGATCACCACCCAGGGAATGCTGTCCGGGCCATGGTGCCAACACAGGGCTGAGCCCTCACCAAAGTCCACCTCTTCTGGAAAACCTGAAAGAGGGCCATGGACCCTCCCCTTCCTTCTGGACACATGCACCAGCCCCCACCTCACTGGGGCTGAACAGCCCAGCTGAGCCCACATTCTGACTGAGGTCCACAAGGATTTACACATGTAAGGAGAGCCGAGCGAAGTGGAGGGGAGACAGGAAACTGGCAGTAGGGAAGGTTCATGCTGTCCTAAAAAACAGAATGAGAGTATCTTTCCCAGGAAGCTGCTTAAAGCTCTTTAAATGAACTCCCTCACCATCTACCTGGAAGAGGAGCAGGACTAAGGGACGGAAAACTGAAAATGCAAAAGGCACTGGGAAGTACTTGTGGGCATTTGGGTCACTGGCCCGGTCTTGTCAAAGCAAGACTCCCATGCCATCAGAGGAGTCTTCTGGTAAACCTAACTGACCGCGGCTGGGGCCAAGTACTCCCATGGTCCCCACCCCCTCAGTGTCCTCCCCTCTCTACAGAAACTCTGCAGAAACGCAGGCTACAGCAATCTTGACTGGCTGGTGTCAGGAAGTAGGAGCAGGGAGGCAGGAAGAGAAAGTAGGTACAACAGAAGAACAGGAATGTCCCAGGAGGGTGCCAATGGAAAGGCAAATTTCTACTGAGTTGCTAATGCCAGCAGGTTTGGAGTTTCAGTCAGGCTCTGGCTGCCTGCTGGGTCTGGGCAGATGTGTCACCATGAAGGGTTCTGGCTGCTGGTGCCAGCCCACTGCAGGGCCTGCAAATGAAGCTGTGGGGACAGGGATCCCCACGGGGCTTCAGAGAGCGGCACAGGGAGGGAGCAGCAAGTCCTGAGGCACAGGGGGACTTACCTTGCTCCAGTCTGATCTGCTCTCTTTGGGGTCGGAAGCCTCCTCCACCGCCTCGGCCTCTCCCTTCCTGGGACCCCCCTCTCCTGCATCCGCTGGGTCCTCTGGTGCCTCCTTTTCGTTGGCTTTGGCAGGCTGACTGCCCCCAGGGTCCACCCCGTTCCTGGACATCCCAGGATCACTCTTCTCATCCGTTTCTTTTTGCAGGAGCCAAGCACTCACCCCTCTACCCCGCTGCCCTTTGCCATCAGCGCTGCTCAGACTGCTGTCTGCACCCTGGCTGAGGAGCTTGCCAGGAGTGGGGGGCCCTGCAGCATCGGAATCCAGAGAAGCATCCTTCCTCTCTTCTGTCTGGCTTGTTCTCGGAGACTCCTAGGCAGCAGCAGACCATGTCGGACAAGGAGGCATCAAGAATTAATAAAATAATTTCAGAGACTTGGAACAAGATGGAACTGTCATTCCTTGACTCGTACGGGCCAGCACTCCAGCTCTGACACCAGTGGTTATCAAACACCCCAACAGCTATTTAAAACCCAGATTCCTCGTTCCACTCCAGATCTACCAAATCTAAACGTCTGTGGTGATTTACAGACACCCAACCGGCCCCGTCCACTGACAGGCGTGGAAACCAGTGCACTGAACTCCATCACCGCCTACCATGTTCTCAAGGAATAAATGTCTCATTCCAGCCCCAGTAGCCAAATCATAGGATTGCAGACTCGAAAGTCAGTATTTACTTTTTAGAAAATCAGTATGTATTTACGATGATGATGATGGAAAATCACATAAAAGTACCAAAGTCTAAAATTTCTATTTTTTACATTTTTAAAAGGCAGCAGGGAAAAAAACAGAAGGAGAATGCCCTTTATCAGTAGTGACGAGGGTGGCTCTCCCCCTAAAGCCTCCCCTGCACAAGCCACCCTCTCCGCTGCATGCTCTGAAAAGCAGAAGCCAAGACAAGATTTACCGGGGGAAATGGCTATGAAGGATAAAGGGGTTGGGAGACCTTCAGAACACAGGTCTGACCTGTGACGGGGGAGCGGGATGGGGGGTGGCTGAAACAGGCAAAGCCTCAGGCCTCCGCCTGGTTCTGAGAAAGTCCTGGCCTGCACCGCAGAGTCCCACATCTGCCAGGAATGGTCCTGCTCTCAGGCCCGTTGTTCTCTGTGGACAAGCACGGACCTGGCATGAGCTAGGCTGGATCAAAGGTGCCACAGCTTGAGGCTGTTATCGCTAGAGTCCCCTCGGCAGGGTCTCTCAATAGGAGCACCCTGTCCAGCTGCCTGGTTCTCACGCACAAACCCCACTTTAAAGACTAGAAAATCCTTGAAAGCCAGCCAAAGTAACAAAAGAAACCCCTTCCTTGAAATACAGCCAGCGCTCTCTCCTGGGCTCAGAGAAGCCTTCCTTCCAGAAAACATCACTTGGGCTGCCGGTGTGAACGACTTCTGAGCAGGGACTTTTGACACTTCCAGGTTCCTCACCCTGGAGACTCACACAAGGAGCCTGGTGACTAGAGTCCAGAGGTCCCCGCAGACACTCTGAACACGGCATTCAACCATGCTGTCTGTTAAAGGATCTACTGAACCCGAAGACGCGCCCATCCGCCTACTGACCAGCCAACCCAAACTTTCCAAGGATAGTGAAGAGACGCAGGAAAACAGAGCAGTTCAGAGCTCAGCTTCAGAGACAGACTACTTAGGTTCAAATCTTCACCCTTACAGGGACCTGAGGCCCATTATTTAACTTCTCTGTGCCTCAGTTTCTTCCTCTAAAATATGGGGACACAGGAGGACCTATCTCACTGGGTCTGGAGGAAGATTAGATGAGTTAACACTCACTAAGTGAGCTAGAGAATGGAGAACAGTGCCTGGCAGACCCTAAGTGTCCCATAAATGTGCCACTAACGTTTTACTGTGAGACACACGTGGTCATTCCCTGGGTGCCTTCTATGTGCCAAGCACTGCTCTGGGGACCCATACAGGAACAAGACATAGATCCTGCCCTGAGTATGGAGAAGAACGAAATGCCCCAGGCAGCCCTGGTTACGAGCCTTTGCTGTCCAAAGCAAAGGGCGCAGGACACAGTGGTGATACTGTCCCCGGCCCTAGTCCTGTCCCAGGGAGAAAAGCAGACAGTGAAAGAGAGAAGGGGAGGCTTCCCTCATGCTTTGGTAGCTCGAAGGCAGGGTACCCTCCAGTGCTGCCCATCTTCCCAACATCCGTAGCCTGTGGCTTTGGGAGAAATCCACTGTGACCACTGGGCTAAGAGAAAGCGGGGAGGTGAGCCCCTCCTCCTCAAGAGCGGGAGGAACAAAGTAAGGCCAGGCCTACTCATCCCAATCCCTGCGACAGTGGCCAGCACGCAGCTGGAGTGCAGTACCCAGTCTGAGGGGCTCCACGGGCCCCCAGGGGGTGGGAGTTTCTCAGGGTGACTGAGGGGTTTCTGGCAGAGCCAATCCACCCGGGTCGTGCTCATCTCATGAAGAGAAAAGAGCAACAGACCTTGCATTAGGGGACAAAGGAGGGTCAGACCACCAACAGCACCCATGGCCTTCAAGATAAAGTCCACATCTCCTTACATGGCCCAGAGCCTTTCCCGCCCAGCCCTGCCTGCTTCACAAGGGTCATGGGCAGCCACAGCCTGCACGCGTCCTCCCGCCTGTGGATGAACCTGGTGCCATTTCACTACCTGGCCATGCATGTTCTTTTATTTATTTTTTCCTTATCTCACTTTATTTAGCCAACAGTCACACTCTGAGCCCCACCAAATTGCTCCTCCAGCCTCACTCGAGGGTCTGCTGAGGGAAGAAGCTCAGAGGGCGACCAGGAAGGTCCGGGTTCCCCAGTCTGCCTCCTCTTCCACCAATACGCACTGCACAGCACAGCACAAAATCACTGCTTGTATCCGCAGGCACCCCCCCAAGGTTGTTGAGGGGCTCTCCAGTGTTCAAGAGCCGCCTGCCAGGGCCCAGCTCCAGGGAGACTGCCCCTTGTTCCTGAGATGCCATGCATATTCTAGACACACACACACACACACACACACAATCTACCTGGACAAACTCCCACTGGCCCTCACAGTATCACATCTTCCAGGAAGCCCTCCCTGACCCCCGGGGCAGCTGTCCTGAGATGAGCCTTCCGGTCCCGCCACAACGACTACTGTAACATCACTGCTGATTTCCCCTCTGTTTCCCTCACCAGGTCAGCTCCCTGCCATCCTCAGTGCCTAGTTTCTGGCACATAAGTGCACAGCAAACACTTGTTGATTGAATTTTTTAAAATGAGTGTGTCGTGTGGGCCTAGGAGCTCCGACTTTGTAAAATGGAGATGAACTATTCATTTCACAAGGTTACAAAGGGATTAGACTATTTGTCACAGTGCTTATTAAATGGAAAATGCTAAACAAATGTTAACTGTGAATATTCAAGATGAGGGAAAAACAAGTAACCTTTCAAAAGTCAGAGGAGAGCAGATGCAGGAAGAGACTCCCATTCTTAGGCATGAGAGAAAGCAGTCAGGCAACAAGAATGTTAGGCCAACTCTGCCATTCCCAAGCTCAAATTCTTCAAAAGAAGATTTTCCCATGATGGAGCTTATCCTATTCTGTCTACCTAAACATTAAGATATTAAAATATGGCTACTATAAAGGAGTTTGCCTTCTCTGAGCCCATGTCAACAAAGTGCAACAACTCAACAGCCAGAGGTAGGTCCTGCGGGTTGGGACAACAGAGGGAGACTAGACATTTATTGCAGATGGCCCACAGTGCCTGACTGAGAGTATCGGGGAAAATGCATCCGACTCCATACCCCTCTCCCTTCACTTGGCCCTGCTCCTCATCACAGCGCAAGCCGAGGCCTGCCCAGGATGCACACTGCAGGCCCCGGTGTACCGCCTCCTGCTTCGGTGTTCTGAGTGTGGGGACACAGGCCAGGGCGGGGGCTGCACCCTCGGCACCACTTTGCTCTCTGCTCATCCATGCTCAGACTCCTTCTGTCTCCTCCTGTCACAGCCCCGGGCCCCTGTGTATCTCAAGGCAAATATCTGCTGCCTTTTTAAAAACAACCTTGTCATCTGCATGAGGAAGGCGGTGCCTGTAAGAGCATTTCATGAATATTTAACATACCCCTCCAAAGCTATGAGGTCTCCAACGCTGCAGTTCCCTCCTTCCTAGAGCACAAAGGCGGGCTTGGGAGGGAGAGAGTGGAGGATGGGGGAGCGGAACCCCCCAAGCCAGCCATCAGTCAGGTTATTCACCACGTCTCCTTCCCACTCAGTTGGTCTCAATTCTTTGCACTGCCTGTTGTTAGCGCTTCCCAATCACACTGACATCATCCTGTGATTTCTAAGCCCAGCTCCCTCCCTCTCCTTTGATCCAAGGATGGGTTCTCACCAGCTCCACCAGGCCACATGCTGCCTGCTCACCCACCCTGCTGCCTCCCGCCCTCACTCACACCCATTCTCAGTGTCTGGTCCGTGAATCCATCCCCTTTGATTCTATAATTGACAAGAAATGGGTTTACACTAAAGGCAGGAGAGGGGAGGGGAGGAGAGAGAGGGAGGGAGAGAGAGAGAGAAAGAGAGAGAGAGAGAGGCATTCTTGCCATCCTACTGCCCTGTCATGGAATAACGAGCAAAGTGACTGGACAGCACAGAGACAGGGTAGAACACACCAGAGCAGGAGCCCTCCATCTAGGGCTGCCCAGGATGCCCAGGAGCGGGAAGAAATGGGTAGCTCAAAGGATGCAAGCTCTATTAACACGGACAAAAACCATTTTCAAAGGGTGCGGTCCAAGCAGAGGCAGCTTTGTCTATCCTGAAACCCCTGTTCATCCTCAACACTGACTTTCCACACCAGGAAAGGCCCTCCTAGTTCTACCTGGGGTTCGAGCGCAGGAACCCAACACTCCCTGTGGCAAAAAAGAATGAGATCTGCTGGGATGCTAGAGACAGGGGTGGGAGGTGTTAAATACACCTCCCACTCCAGACATTTCCCCCCATCACACTGGGTTGTCTATTTATATTAAAGAGGTTATAAAAAAAAATATGTTTAAAAGCTCCCACTCCCCCAGAGAAACATAGAATCATCAGAAGGGAAGCTTCTGGAAATCCATGACATGTCAAAGAAGATCCCTTTTTGGTTGACATTTGTAGTCCCCATTATGAAGTAAAAATTAACAAGTTCAAAGTCAAAGTGCATCATGATTGACCCACACTGGGATCCTCCATCAGCCAGAGGACAGCAGGGACCAAACATACAATCTTCCCAGGGCCTGGAACAGCCAAGGGAAGGAAAGAGCAGAACACAGAGCACAACACAACCTGCAGGAATTCTCCTCCTTGTCCCAGAGGGGCTCACTCTCCTGGTTCTCTCAGCCGCTCAGCAAAACATACCCACATCCTTCCTATGCTCCAGGCATGGGACAGTGCTGGCCATATACACATGAATCTCTACTCCCAATTTGCTCAGTCTCATGCAGAAACTTTCTCCTTTCTCTGAGAGCCAGTTAAGTCCTCTTGATGCCCCATTCCTGCTCATGGTCATCCTTCTTGGCTCCAAACCTGAGCTGCTGATTACATCGGCAGTATGAGGTCTTCATGGCCGATGAGAAGAAACAAAGTTGTCATTTCAGGGAACCAAACACACTGAAGGCTTTGAATGGAGTGCAAAGAGACCAGGCGCCACTCACAAGTTTCAAAGCGGACACAGATCAGGTCGATCATAAAGATGGGACACTCGGGAACACAGTGTCACATTTCACAGAAAGTGTTGAAGTCACAATCAAAACGTATCTGATTGGGCACCGCCAAAAATGTGGACAGTCTCTGGGGTAAAAATGGGGACATAGTTCTGAGAAGAAGTATAACAATAAAACAGAGTCTGCCCTATGGCTAGAGCTGGACCACCCAGGAAGACCCAGCTACAACTCCGGGCCAGTAGGCCACAGCATTCGCAACCTCCACCCGCCAAGACGTTAACCCTGGCTCTTGAGGTGAGCTGAAGACCAAGAAGTACGAGTCAGAAACAAATAGAGCACGATAAGGGATAATAAGAACACAGAGATAATAAGGAAACAAATTTAAATCCATGATACAGGCACTATTGCTTTACAGGTCAGCTTTGTGATCCTTCTAATAAAACGTGAGTGATCAGTTTCATTTGAAAGTGTTGCAAGCATGTGAAAGAATTTTATATATTAGACTTATGAAAAGCTTAATTCAGCTTGCAATCAATATCTCGAAGTTTGGGGAAATCTGAGCTGCTGACGTCATGATTTCCTGGTTGTATGAATACCGTGGGAATATTGAGGGAAATCTTAATTGCTAAAAACGAATAAATTGGACATTAGACAAAGGGCATACTATAAAACCACATTGGGGGGTTGTAGGTATTATAACACCATGATGAGTTTTCGGTTCTGTTTGTTTTAAAGAACTTTCTGGTGGCGATGGAGGACAGACATTAGAAGTGACAGGACTACTGTGGGGAGAGTCTGGAAGCTACTCCCATCCGCAGTCTGCACTTCTCAGGCCCTGCGCCTTTGCTCAAGCTGTTCGCTTGCCCAAAATATCCTTTACACCCCCATGTCTAAAACTTACCTACTCTTTAAGAGCCAGGTCAAATGTCATCTCTTCCAAGATTTTTCCTGCTCTCCAGGCAAGTCACGTCCTTCCCCTCAGAGCTCCCCTAGGCCCGGCACCTGTGCCAGCAAGAGCTCTTTGCACACACCACCCTGCTTTATGGCGGCCTAGAGAGTCAACACCACAGTGAGCACTCACTAAACGCCAAGGACCTGCTGTCCTTTCTCTCTAGCTGCAAACTCCATGAGGCCAGCCCAACCCATCTTACTAACCTCTGTGTCTCCACAGGGCCCAGCACAGTGGCCAACGTTCGACAACTGTCAAGACTCTGGATGTCACACCTCTGTTCAAAACCTCCGATGGCCCCCAGCGCCTGGGGACCCCAGGGCAAACTCCTCAGCTGGCACTCAGGGTCTCCGCGATGCAGCCCAAGCTACCCCCACAGACTGGCTCCCACTCGTCTCCCACAGGCGCTCTGTCTGCGCTCCAGCCAAAGGCGACACCCTCACCTTCCCCAACCTCTCCCTGCACCCTCTGCCTCTGCCCATGCAGGGCCCTGAATGTGGGCTTCTCTCTCCCCACTCACCTCTGCCCAGCCAGTCCTGCCCACCGTCCTTCCTGGCTCACCTCACGTGGCAGTTTCTCAGCAAAGCCCTGCCTGGTGGATCCACGGAGCTTGGAGACCCCAGATTCTCCTCTCTGTGGTGCTCCGTCTCACCTCCCTCATAGCTTCACCACCTTCTACTCTGTTTTCTGGGAATGGAAGCCTCTCTTCTGTGAGGCCGCAAACCCTCAGGGGCAGTAATCCCATCTAACGTAGGCTTGCAGGACCTACAGCCCCCAGCAAAGTGCCTCACATGACAACATTCAACCATTGTGGTTATCTGGCAAATGCTCAGGTGTCCTATTCCCCTTTGTGCTTCCCCAAACTCCAAAAATCCCATCTTAGAAGACAGCACTGAGACAAGACAGGTCTCTTTCCAAATCTGCATCCCCCAAGGAGAAAAGCTTAGGAAGGAAGGAGGGACAGACCAGGCGGAGGCATTTGTCTGCAGGGCTTCAGACTCTTACCTCATACTCAAAGTCACCCCCCAGCACCCCAATATCCAGGTGCAGGTTCTTAAGAAGCTCACTTGAGCTGCAGACACTCTGAAAACAAACATGATTACAGGTGGTAAGTCAAGGAAACGGGTCAGCCTGGGGTAAGGGCCAAAAAGCTCCTTGTTGGTTACACTGTCTGGGTCAGGTCTAGAAAGTACATGGATTAGGCAAGAAGTGAAGCTGTGGGCTGGAAAATCATTTTACTTATTTTTAAAGGAGCACAGAGTTGGCCAAAAGGTGGAAACAACCCAAGTCCCATCAACAGACGAACAGCTAGACAAAATGTGGTCTGTTCATACAATGGATTATTCAGCCATACATCCTACAACATGATGCTCCCTGAAAACACACTATGTAAAAGAAAGCAGATATAAAATGGCAAATATTGTATGATTCCACTTATATGAAATATCCAGAATAGGCAAATTCAAAGACAGAACATAGGGGCGGCCTGGGTGGCTCAGTCGTTAAGCGTCTGCCTTCGGCTCAGGTCACAATCCCGGGGTCCTGGGATCGAGCCCCGCATCAGGCTCCCTGCTCAGCGGGAAGCCTGCTTCTCCCTCTCCCACTCCCCTGCTTGTGTTCCTGCTCTCGTTCTCTCTCTCTCTGTCATATAAATAAATAAAATCTTAAAAAAAAAAAAACAAGACAACATAGAACAGAAGAGAACACAGACTGGGGAGAGGAGAGGGCTTGGGGGAGTTACTCTTTTTTTAATTTTATTATGTTATGTTAATCACCATACATTACATCATTAGTTTTTGATGTAGTGTTCCATGATTCATTGTTTGTGCATAACACCCAGTGCTCCGTGCAATACGTGCCCTCTTTAATACCCATCACCAGGCTAGCCCGTTCCCCCACCCCTCTCCCCTCTAGACCCTCAGTTTGTTTCTCAGAGTCCATAGTCTCTCATTGTTTGTCTCCCCCTCCGATTTCCCTTCTTGCTAGCTTTTTTTTTTTTTTAACATATAATGTTGGTGGGAATGCAAGCTGGTGCAGCCACTCTGGAAAACAGTATGGAGGTTCCTCAAAAAGGTGAAAATAGAGCTACCCTACGACCCAGCAATTGCACTACAGGGTATTTACCCCAAAGATACAAGTGTAGGGATCCGAAGGGGTACGTGCACCCCGATGTTTATAGCAGCAATGTCCACAACAGCCAAACTGTGGAAAGAGCCAAGATGTCCATCGACAGATGAATGGATAAAGAAGATGTGGTATATATACACAATGGAATATTATGCAGCCATCAAAAGGAATGAAATCTTGCCATTTGCAATGACATGGATGAAACTGGAGGGTATTATGCTGAGTGAAGTACGTCAATCAGAGAAAGACATGTATCATATGATCTCACTGATATGAGGAATTCTTAATCTCAGGAACAAACTGAGGGTTGCTGGAGTGGGGGGGGGTGGGAGGGATAGGGTGTACCTCAATGGGTACAGAGTTTCTGTTTGGGATTGCGAGCTAGTTCTGGAGACGGAGAGTGGTGATGACTGTCTAACATTGTAAAGGTAATTAGGGCCATTGAATTGCACGCTTAAAAGTGGTTAAAATGGTAACTTGCACGTGATATATATTTGACTACAATAAAATAAATTCTTTTTTAAATAGCACAAAGGGTTTCCAAGGCCGGAAGAGGATTCATCATTACCTGGTTGTCACTCTCCACCTCATCCTCCTCGTTGGTCTCCTCCCCTAAAGCCAAGAGGCTGAGAGCATTCTTGTCTTCATGGATGGAGCCCAAGAGACCCTTTGTATAAGCAGAAGTCTTGAGACCCTGTGAAGGCTCCAAAGCAGAGAAGGAAAGTCAAGGGGCGTGCTAAGGACCTGCAGAATGCTCTCCCCACTCTCTTCGTATGTCTCCCAGCACAAGTCTGCCAAGCCCAGGAAGCTGACCCCAGCAACCCCAGCTCACATGGATCCCTTCCTGACTCTGACTGCCCCAGCTGTAAGGACTGGGAAATGAGCACTGCAACCCCTTCCCCTGCCCCCCGCCCCGGTGGGTCTATCCTCTGCAGCCCAGAGTCCGTGTCTAGCATCACACAAGTGTGATTTGCCTTCCCAGCTTCCCAATTTGCCCATGAACTCTAAGGACTCGGCCCATGCCCTCTCTTTCTTATCTATGGGCCACCGTTCCTAGCATGGCACACAGAGACCCCAGGGTCACTAATTACAATGAATGCAAGAGAAACCATTTACCAGCATGGGTTCTCCGAGCGGACCAGACTCCACTGAGCTCCCTAGGCTCACACTCTGCAATCCACGAAGAGCAGAGGCTGGGGCATCTGCAAGGCCTCTCAAGGGAGCCAGGCCCCCAGGAGGGACATGGACTGGGGCTAATAAGGAGCCGAGGGCCTGGGCAACACAAAACATCTTGTTACAAACCCAAGAAACCACATGGCTCTCAGAGTGCCAGAGACAGATATAAAAATAAAACAGCTAAATCCTGCCCGCTCAAATTTAAACCACCTCCGTTCAGAGGCTGCTAATGAAACACAACATCCAGAAATTACCATTGTGCCAACTATGTGAGAAATCACAGGCCGGCTTGCTGATTCTCCTAACTCCGCTGCTGGTGCACAGCGAATGGTTCGTTCACATCTGGCAGATGCCGCAGCGGGTTCTGCTCTCCTTTCAGAAGCCACATAGGAAGTGGGGGGACAGGGGGAGGGCAGAGACAAAAGCCTCATCTACCAGAATGAGAAGTCTCAATAGAAGAAGTTTAAAACTGATGAACCAAGAAAAAGCAGTCTAAGCATATTATTTACAAATGTGGAAGTACACAGCAGAAAAAAGCAGCTGCCTCTGGGGAGGGGTACACACGCCAGAGAACTATATTTCGTTGTACGCCTTTTGGTACTATTTGACTTTGTTCAATATGGGCACGTATTACTTCAATTAAAATACATATCAACTATGAAAAAAATACATGGGGGCGCCCAGGTGGCTCAGTTAGTTAAGCATCTGCCTTCGGCTCAGGTCATGATCCCGGGGTGCTGGGATCAAGCTCTGCGTTGGGGTTCGGGCTCAGTGGGGAATCTGTTTCTCCCTCTCCGTCGGCCCCCCTCCACTGCTCATGCTCTCTCTCTCTCCCTCTTTCCTCTCTCAAATAAAATCTTTTTAAAAAATATACATGAATGACAAAAGAATTCTCCCCTTCCCCTCTTCCACTGACAAGGAAGGTAGTTGAATGGAGCCTTGCTCAAAGGACTGACCAGTTTCCCTGTTCTCATGCCAGCCAGATGAAGGCTTCTGGCTAGGGAGGATGGGAAAAACCACCTGGGAGTCAGAGTTTGCAAGACCTCAGCTCACTCACAGACTCCTGGATACTCAGTTTACTCGTCTGCGAGACAGAGATGATGGGTGTCTTGCCACTTAAGGTCTGTTGGGAAGTTCAAAAGAGACAATGAACGTGAGGAGCACGTGGGAGTGGTTCAGGGCTACCCCAACGTGGAATGGCCATTAGAGGGATTCACATTCCTATAGATCGGGCTGAGCAGCAGGGGCAAAGAGAGCATTGTGGGGACAATTTACAAAAACCTCTTTAAAATTCATTGCTCAAACTTAAAATGTATAAAACAACACAAAACCATTCCTCTCTAATCCCAAGGGGACTGAAGAGAGAAAGGGGAACCCGGAGGAGGTGAGGCTGAGAACGTGCAGGCGGCCCATCATCTCCTCCACAACCTGGGCTGAAGGGCCCAGACCATCGGGCAGGTTCTGACCAGGACCCCTTCCTGCATGGGAAGGGCAGCAGATGCTCATCTGAAAGGGGGATAAGAACCACTCCTGAGCTTTTAAACTCTCAAATCACTGCCTGACCATCTGGCCTGCTGTAGAGTACTTCCAGTGGGCAGAAACAATCAGACTGGCCCACATAACCCAGCATCAGGTGCTGGGCTCAGCCCTTACATGCCATCTCTCCTGTTCTAACGACAACCCAGGCCAGAGTCCCTACAAATGGAGATGGTGGAGATGAAGACCTCTGCTCACAGTCACAGGGCCATCGGGGGGGGGGGGGGGCACAAACATGGGACTGGTCCCAGGGCAATCTCCAAACCAGTACTTACACCACCTCTTGGATGTGGCCAAAAAGGAGCCCAGGAAAGCTTCTCTGAGGTAAACTGGGAGCAAACGGGTCTGCTCCTCTTGACTTCAGCCCTCCCAACCAGCCCCCATCTATCAGCAACCAAAATTCCTCCCACACTATTTACAGAAAAGTACAGGCTCCTCACATGGCTAATTTGTGGGCATGCCGGGGGTTTGAAGAAGGGAGACAGGCATGCTGAGGGCTCCGTTCTCCCAGGCCTTTACCAAATCAGTGGTTGGCAGGGAAATGACACATCCCTGGCTCCGAGCTGATCATCTTCTAGAGCTGGCCATTAACTCTGACTATGGGCTGTGCATGGTCTTGTCCTTCAGAGGGGATAAACTTGCTGCCATTGGACTAATTAAAACTTTCAGGATCATCTGCCCCTTATCAGGTATTTATCGTGCTACAGTAGTTATTAAAGCTAACAGAGAACCAGGACACTCCAGCAATTAGGGAACAACTGGGTAAAGCCACAACTGGGTGACAGCAGAAGAATAGCTGGGGAAATTCAGATTGACCCCCGTGGTCTCTGCTCCAACTTGACTTCTTCTGAATGAAGAATATGGTGTGACTCGTTAAAGGGACAAAGGGTCAGAATGACAGGGAAAGCACAATCCGATGTCAAATCCCCGCAGTGGAGGAAATAAAGGTACAAACAAGCTCTGCACAAGCCTGACGCAGGGTAGTCACATGGTTCCTGGGAACCCTGGGAAGCAAAGAGCAGAAGCAGCTCCCCGGATGGTAGAGAGATTCTGGGCTTCAGCACCCTGCCCCCCCTCACCCCCACCCCTGCCGTGACTGTATTAACTTTCCAGTTCTGTGTGATTCCAAGAAGGGACTAAACTGAGAGCTTGTGAGGAGGGTGTCTACTTGAGAAGCCTCTGTCCATAATCGGCTGATGGGAAAGGCTTCCCAAATCCTGGGAAGGTACCAAATCCTGCCTGAGTGACAGGATTGGCACCACCTTGCTCACCTTCAAAACTGATCATCTGCCAAGCCTGTGGCCCACCCGTGAACTAAGTCAGCTCCAGGGAAGGGAAGGCTAGATCCCCTCAGCCACTGTCCAGCAGGTGACGGGTACAAGAAACACGAAATATACGTCAGCCCACAAGATGGCCAGCCTGGGTAGTTAAGGGATCAGTAGTTACCAGGGGAGACCAAACAATAGGAAAGCAGGCCTGATGGCTGAGTAAAGACGTCAGCTCAACCTGCTCCCTCCCTGCCAATTTCAGAGAGGCCCACAGGCCATACTTGCTAAGAAGCCTACCTGGTTGAGAAGCTGCATCTTGCTTGGCTCTGCAGCAAGCCCTCTGCTGGAACTCAGCTCGACTAGCCCCTGCCTGAGGGGGCTGCTGCTGGGCTGGAAACAGGCTTGCTGAGAGACCTCCTGCCCAGCAAGGGCAAGAGCCACCTCCTGAGGATGCTCCAGCATCTCTGGCCCCCAAGCCAGAAACCTTGAGTCCCTCTCCATGGCTCCGACGGCCTCGTGCTCACCCTCACTAGACATCCTGGAAGACTCGGCCGCCATGCAACAGACCATGCTGGCGGTATCTTTACATGGCGTCTCCTGCATGCTCTCGGGCAGCCCCGGGCCCTCCAGCCGCCTGGAGATCTTGACCATCTGCAGGATGTGCTGGTAGAATCTCTGATCCTCAGAGTAGTCTTCACTCTCTGACTGCTCATCGGCAGAGCTCTGCATGTGGGACAACTGGAGTCCCAGGAAGGGGCTGGAGTGCTGCTCTCTGGCTCTGGGACCTGACTGACCCCTCACGCCCTGCTCAGATCCCGGAGAGCTCTGCAGGTCCCAAGGAAAGTGGTTCACCTCGCCCAGGATCTGCGAGCCAAGGCAAGAAGCCAGGCTGCTGCTCTCCAAGTCAGGCTCAGACCCACTAGGCCTCCTGTCTTCTTCGAGGGGCTCTAGAGACCCGGGAGGTTGTCTCTCCTCACCGGCCGGGGAGCATCCGGGGGCACTCCCTGAAGGGCTATTCTGGGCCAGCTCTGATGCCAGAGGGTCAGGCGGCTTTAGGAAGAGCTCCTGAGGCAGGTCTTTAGCTGTGGCCCCTGGAATCTCAGAGTCATCGGGTCCTGCCTCCTGGCAGCTCCCGGGGGTGTCCTTGTTGACAAGCCTGGAGACCTGTCCCATCCACAGTCCCGGGGGCTCTTTCCTCCTCCTCCCCCTGCCCACGCTCCCACCTTCCCCGGACACACCCTGCCAGCTCAGGCCATCGGCTGGGCCGCTATCTAACAAGAGCAGCCGGCTCTTGCTGGTGAGCGGCATGTGGTCAGGGGAACACAGGGGCCGGGAACGGTCCTCCTCAGGGGACGGTGAGGGAATGGGGCTCTGGCTCTTGTCTCCCCCGGGGCCAGTGGAGCCCCGTTTGGCCATGTGGTGGCCATACTGCTCCCCTTTTAGCTGTAGGCCGGTGATGGTTTCAGAAAGCTTTGAGTGGACAGAGGCCTGGCTCCTGCCTTCCAGCACATCCTGCCCATTCTGGAGGGGCCTGGTGTTCTCAGGGCCCAGAGCACTGGGCTTCTGCTGTCTGGTCCTCAGTTCCAGCTCTTCTATTTCAGGGTCTGAAAACCCCAGGTAGATTTTCTCTGTCGGCTTCTGGGGTTTCCCCAGACCCTGCTGATCACCCAATTCTGTCCTGCACTGGGCTGGGGCCCTGCCTAAGATTTTCTCCACGTCGGCAAAGATCTGGTGGGTGCGAGAAGCTTGGCCTTTGGAGAGTGGCTGTAGCTTGCTGGGCAGGGTGCCCAGGAGAGGCCAGGGGGTGTCACCCAGCACACAGGGGCTCTTCCCTTTCTTAAAGGAGCCCTCACTTCTAGCCTGCATCTCTTGGTCTGGGTCCAGATCAGCAAGCCCAGGTGCTGGGAGAGGGGGTGGGCCACGGAGAAGGGAAGAAGAAGGCAGAAGTCCCTGCTCAGGCTGTGTTTCCTAGATGGGTATATAAACATGCAGAGAAAACGAAGACAAAGTACTTCTGATTTATACTTGCTACCTCAGCCCTTGGCAAGCCCTTAGCAGAAACCCACCCTCCATTTAAAGGAAAACACAAACCAAGAGAGGGGGAAAAAAAAAAGCTAAAAACTCCCTTGGGCTTCATTGTTTTCTGGGCCCTAGTTTCCCTATCTATAAAGAGAAGGCTGGACTAGATCAATGGTTTACCCCCCACTTCATGGAACCTGCTGGTTGGTTCCACATGGTACCCCAGAAGCCACTGTAGCGTACATGTAATGGGGAAGGGGCGTCACCAAGACCTACTCCCCAAGGTTCACTTTTTCTTGATACACTGGACCTCCATGGAGGAATTGACTGGAAGACAGGGCTTCACCAATCACAAAGGTCTGAATCACCAACCAGATTATCCCTAAGGTATCATCAGGCTCTCAGTTCTGTGACTGGTGAATTTCATAAAATCCACCTGCCTTACCAAAGACCACCAGAAATTGTCTAAGAAGGGAGAGAAGGGAAACACGGCCAGTGAGCTGAGCCCTGGGAATTCCATCTAGGTCTTCCAGCAGAGACACAAGTTGGTACTGCTCAAGAGAGGTCCACACCAGTCAGAGAATCTTGGGTCTTGAAGAAACCCTAAAAGATAGGCTTCATCCTGCAAACATTCACACTCAGCTCCAGCCAGCCTATGCATGCACACCGCCAGAGAGCCCAAGCCACCTGAGCCCAGGTCACCCACCTGGCTCAGGCCTGCCCTCTGGACAAACCCAGGTCTGAGGCACTGTCCTGAGCCCTGAGATCCAGACTGGCAGCCCAGGGCTATCCAATCGTCCTCAGCTCCTGAAACCACAAAGGAATCCTTTTTAACAGGGAGCTCCAAGCACTTACTCACACACCCAGAACTCTGTCACCCAACCTGCTGCCCCAGAACCCTCACCTCGTTCCCTCTCTCACCTAGTCATGCCAGAGCCTGCCCAGACTGATTATCATTTAAAGTGGTCCTGGGCTAATGAAAAGCCCATTATCCATCTTTGGCCTTTCAAACACATTAACATCAGAAAATTCAACCGATTTGGAAATTACCCGTCCTCTTTTCTCTCTCTGGAGGGATGGGCTTGTTATCTTATTTCTTGGGATCGTGAGTAGCAATAAGTTGGCGGGGGGGGAGGGGCGGAGTGCAGGGAGGAAGGAGGGAGGAGTATCTGTAGAACTTGGAAATACTGAAAAAGACAAATTCACCAGCAACCATCCAATGGCAGAACTGACGCCTTGGGGAAGGAAGGAAGATGGACGAAACCTTCACTGAGAAGCAAGCACTAAGCATGGCGGGAAACAGACTACAGACAGCAAGCAAATCAACTGGACAAATGAGAGGGTTGAAAAGATATTCTCAGTGCTCCCCACCTGGCTGTCCTGGGTTCCTATGGGGCCTCCTTCCCCCCAACATGCCCCACCTGCCCCACGCCTGCCCCATACCCGCCCCCCATCTGGATGAAGGAATCCCTGTACCACCTGAGAGCCTGGGCCTCACGCCAGGATGGCTCCGAGTCTTTGCTTCTCTACCTATAAATTCAGGGCCATAACTCTGTCTCTGACGTTCAGACACACTGGAGGGACAAATAAAACAATACGGGGAAAGAGCGCTTTCACTCCGAGTAAAAAAAGCTACCTGAGACCAAGGTAATCACACTGCCGTCAAATTTCAATCATGTACCACTAACCGAGGACGCCGGCAAAAAAGACAATCCACAGGAGCAGATAAAGCCCAGAGCTTTTCTTGTTGGATTTGAAAGGCACTGGCGTTCGGACAACTGAATTAGGGCTACATCTGACATCTAGGAATTTGCACCACACTAGGAAGGCCTGGCTCTGAAAGGAGAGGGAAGACACGCCACTCATCTGTGTTCTCCGTCAAGTGCCCCCGGCCCCGCACTCTCCAGAGGGGCAGGTGGCCCCACTTCCTGGACTGCTGCAAAGCACCATGCCCAGCAGACTGCTCTCGCTCACTAACCCTACTACATAGCATGTGCTTCCCCAGGGAGATAAAAGGAATTGTTTAGAGGCAGTAAGAATTTCCAGAAGCTAAAAGGAAAATTTGCGGGAGACAGGCAGAATGAAGGTGATGTACTATGAAGAAGTCACTGCATTATCGGTGCTGTTCTTAACTTCCCAGCTGGAAACACCTAGAGGCTTCGAACATCCCCCGAGGTCTCAGCCCTGGTCTCTCTTGAGAGCTGGCAGCCACGAACTCACCAGCGGACTTTTGGGGGTCTCTTTGTCCTTCTTGTCTTTCTTTTCCTTTTTCTTTTTCTTGTCTTTCTTCTTAATGGCTCCAGGGGCTGACAGCTTCCCCCGCTCTTGGATCACCAAGTTCCGATAGTGCTCATCGCATGGATGGTCCCACGTGGACTGCCCGTTGGCAAAGTTGAAATAGTAAATATCACCTGTGATGTCCTGGCTGTGGAGAGCAGAGGTCAGGAGTCAGTCCCTGCTCCGGCCCACGGCTACTTGGGGGTAAAAAGAAAGATGGAGAAGAAGGAAGAACGGCATGAGAGGGGCAGGAGAGAGAAGGCGGAGGACAGGACACGGGGAGGGTTAACGCAGAATGGAAGGAAGGGCACCGTGCGGCTAAGACAGGAGTTGACTTACATAGGAACCAAGGATTGGGATACCGAAGGCCTTCTCTAGAAGAAGACGTATAATCATTGGGGTTCCTGGGAATTCATGCTAGACTGGAGTAGGAATAAATTTGGTTTTAGATGGATAAGTACAGACGCGATGGGATCTTGGAGATAAATTCTAGGCTCGAACTTGCTTAATATTTTTATAAATGGTGTAAGGAAGAAGAGGCACTGTGAAAACCCTGGTTTTGCAGAAGACTCTGAACTCACAAGAGGTGACGATCCAAGCCAGTGGGGATCAACAACAGAAGAAAATAACGTAGGGGTGCCTGTGTGGCGCAGTCGGTTGAGCATCCAATTCTTGACTTCGGCTCAGGTCATGATCTCAGGGTCATGATTCTCTCTCTCCCTCTGCCCCTCCCCCCCCCAACATTCTCTCAAAAAGAAGAAAAAGAAAATAATGTAAAAGGTGCATTTCAAGAATCTGTTTCAGGGCTGCCTGGGTGGCTTCATCGGTTGGGCAGCTGCCTTCAGCTCACATCATGGTCCCAGGGTCCTGGGATCGAGCCCCGCATCAGGCTCCCTGCTCAACGGGGAGCCTGCTTCTCCCTCTCCCTACTGCTCCACCTACGTGTGCTCTCTCTCTGCCAAATAAATAAAATCTTAAAAAAAAAAAGAATCTATTAATAATCCATTGGGACAAAAACAAAAAACAAACCACACATTCACAATAGCAATATAAAAAGACACAATACCCAGGAATAAATCCAAAGTGTGCAAAATCATTATAAAGCTTTACTGAAAAGTCAGGAAAAAGGAAAAAAGAAAAAGCATTTGGCGAGACAGTCCCATGTTCCTGAATACGAAGACTCAAGTCTAGGGGTGCCTGACTGGCTCAGTTGGCAGAGCACACAATTCTTGATCTTGGGGTTCTGAGTTCAAGCCCCACACTGGGTGTAGAGACCACTTAGGAAAAAAAAAAAGTCTATAAACATGCTGATAATCTTCAAATTAATGTATAAATCCAATACAATCCCAGTAGAATCCCAATCAGGCTCCTTATAAAACTTGACAAGCTCAATCTCAATTCCAATCAAAGAGAAAACATGCAGAAATAAACAGGAAAAATATCAGGAATGAAAGATAAAAAGATAACAAATGACAGATAAGCAACATGAGAAGATGCACAACATCAGTGACCATCAGGGAAGTGAGAATTACAAGTGCAGCGAGATATCGCTTCATACCCACTAGCATGGCTGCTACCAAACAAGCAGGAAAGAACAGGTGTTGGCGAGGATGTGGAGACACCAGACCCTTGTGCACTGCTGGTGGGGATGGAAGGGGGTGCAGCCGCCATGAAAAACAGTATGGTGGTTCCCTAAAAATTAAAAATAGAACTACCATATGACCCAGCAATTCCACCCAAAAGAACCAAAAGCAGGGATTCGAGCAGATATTTGTACACTCATGTTCACAGCAGCATTACTCATAATAGCAGAAGTGTGCAAACAGCCCAAACGTCCACAGACAAACGAATAAACAAAATGCAGCACAGACATACACGAGAATTTTATTCCACCTTGAAAAGGAATGAGGTACTGACACGGGCTACAGCATGGATGAAGCCCACAGACATGATACTAAGTAAAATAAGCCAGACACAAAAGGACCAATACTGTGGGTCCACTGATACGATCTAGAATAGGTTAATAAACAGAGACGGAAAGTAGATCAGAGGTTACCTGGAGCTGGGGGGAGGGGAGAGTGGGCACAGACTTTCAGTTTAGGAAGCTGAAAAAGTTCTGGAACTGGGTGGTGGGGATGCTTGCACAACACTGTGAATGTTACTTCATGCCACTGAACTGTCTATCTAAAAACGGTTAAAACAGGACATTTTATGTTATGTATGTTTTACCTGGAAAAAAAAACTTTAAAAAAGTATATATAATTTCAGTGTGATAAAAGAAAGAGTAAAGAAATTAAAAGACAGGAGACTGGAAGAAAATAATAGAAACAGTAGTATACGATTAATACACAGAAAAATCAGAGTTTCACCTTCTCCAAAATAAAAAAATAAGCGTCCCAGCAGACAAAATGGCAAAGGGTATAAATAAGCAAATGGCCAACAGATGGCCAGCTCAACTCAATGAACGATTTGAGAAATGCAAATTCAAACAATCGGGTATAATCTCCTGCCCCTGGATTGACAATTTTTTTGTACTGATCATTTTTGGGGGGTTAACAGTGTTTTAACTGATCATATTTTTAAATGAACCACATTTACTGTTATTGGAGGGATTGTTAAACTGCAGGGGAAAGTAATTTGGGATTAACTAACAATATTTAAATTCTGCACATCTTTTAACGCATGGATTCAAATTCTAGAATTTTTTTCTCTAGACACACACACAAAATCTCAGGCAACATGCTTAACCAAACTGAAGGAAACATCTGACCTCTCCTCACCTGGTGCCAAGTTCTCAGAGGCCAGAAACAGAAAGAAAACGTAAAGCCTGATTAGTACGTGTGAGAGGTGACAGGTCAAGGCTGGTGTCTGACCTGGATAGAGACCCTTCAAACCTGGGTTTTAATGCCAAGTGACAGACTGAGAAGATGGCCTTAGGCCTTCACGAATCTGGAAACTAGGAATGAGACCCTTGCATATTGCTGGCCCGTAAGGCTGCTCATTCCATGAATAGAAGAACCTAGTGGAGCGAGGAAGCATGTCACCGATCCAGGTCTAGGCAGGCAAAATCAAATTCATGAAAAATTAAAACCCCAAGACGCATGTAGACATAGAGTCCAAATTGTGGTAAAAAAATCCCAAGTTGGAAAATTAATGTAAAAATTTAGTCCTAATGCCCACTGAAAAAATCCTTGGCACAAGCTATCGTAAAGCCACTCAACAACCTAGGAATAAAACACAGAAAATAACTCTAGAGAAGATGGATTCACAAAACTCACAATAAATAATTAACAAGCCCCATGGGAAGACAGTTAATGGTAAAAGGGAATCGGCGCCAGTGAAGAGAAGCATTAGTAAACTTGGCACAGCAGACTGATCAAAAGAAGACGAAAATTAACTACATCTAAAATTACTGTAGGGATAAAAAGAGTAGAATCCATAATGAAAGGACAGAACTCTTAAAAAAAAAAAAAAAAACAGACATACTGAAAAGAACATAAGAGAACTTGTGGGAATTTGTAGAATCATTAAATTAGGGGAGGAAAGGGGGATGAAGAGAGACAGGAGTCCCCAAAGAAAGAAAGCACCCAAATCCTGAACTGAGGAAATAAAAATACATACCTGATACACTGCAGTGACATTATAGGACACCAAAGATAAAAATAAAATTATAAAAACAACCAGAGGGGGGGAAGATTTACTACCCACAAAGGAACAACAAACGAGACCAAGAAAATAGGTCTTATTAAGGAAAACCAGAAGATCATGGTACATAATATTGGCCAAGGGCTGGTCAAATTCAACAGACAATTCTGTACTCAACTAAACTGTTATTCAGATTGAGACCAGACAAAAGTGCCTAGGGACACAGGAAGACATAAACATACCTAGCATGCTCGATATAATGGGTATTTATAGAACCCTATATTGCAAAACGAGAGACTACATTCTTATCGAGAACACCTAGAACATTTACATAATAAACAGAATCACTTACTGAGCCAGAAAAGAGGTCTCAACTTGTAACAAAAAATGAATAAATAAAATTGGAAATTGGTAATAAAAAAAATACCCAAACTCTACCTACCTCATCCCCTTCAAACTATTATTTTAGAACAAACATACTTAACAAAATTTTAGAAAATCAAATCTGATAATATATGATCATGACCAGGTAGACTTTATTCCAGGACTGTAAGGTCAGTTTAACATTTGAAAATCAATCAATATCACTGACCATATTAAGACCGAAACAGAAAAAAAACCCACTTGATCCTATCAATAGATGCAGAAAAAACATTTGGTAAAATCCAATATCCTTTCTGCTTTAGACTCTCAGAAAGCCAGGAATAGAAGGGAACTTCCTCACCCTGACAAAGGGCATTTACAAAAACCTACAGCTAACATCATACTCAATCCCTTAAGATCAGGAACAAAGCAAAAATGTCCATTGTCACCACTTCTATTATTAGAGGTTCTAGTCAGTGCAGTAAGGAAAGAAATAAAAATAAAAGGCAACCAGATTGGAAAGGAAGAAGTAAAAATGTCTTTTTCACAAAAGATGTGATCATGTATGTAGGAAATCCTATGTAATCTACAAAAATATTAGAAATGACATACATGGGGCACCTGGGTGGCTCAGTCGGTTGAGCGTCAGACTCTTGATTTCGGTTCAGGTCATGATCTTGGGGTCATGGGATTAAGCCCCCCCCCCCTGCTTTGGGCTCCATGCTCACCAGGGAGTCTGTTCTTTCCTTCTCCCTCTCCCTCCCCCCACTCCCCCAGCTTACCTGTGTGCCCAAGAGCACACACTCTCTCTCTCTCTCAAATAAAATAAATAAATCTTAAAAAAAAAAAAACTGACACGTGAGTTTAGCAAGGCTGCCAGCTACAATATCACTATACAAAAACCAATTTTATTTCCATATAAAAGCAATAGGAAACTGAAATTTTAAAATATACCATTTACAGAAACATCAGAAATACACACTACTTAGGAATAAATCTAACAAAATATGGGCAAGACATGTACACTAAAAACTATAAAACATTTTTTAAAGAACCACCTAAATAAATGGAGACAGACCCTGCTCGGGGGTTGAAAGGCTCCATATAATTTTAGAGGTCAATTCTCCCTAAACTGATTTATAGATTCAGTGCAATTCCAATCAAAATCTTAATAGGATTTTTTTTTTGGTAGAAAATGACAAGCTGATTCTAAAATTCATATGGAAATGCAGAGGACCTACAACTCTGAAAATGGAGAACAAAGCTGGAGGATTTACCCTAAATGATTTCAAGATTTATAATAAAGCTACAGTAATCAAGACAGTACGTACTATATTGGTGTTAAGGTAGACAGATCAGTGGAAGAAAGCAGAGAAAGCAGAAGGAGACCCACACATAGGGTCAATTTGGAAAAAAATCTAAACACCCTTCAATATAAGAGTGGTTAAATAAATCGGGATTTTTAAAAATTATGGCACATTTATACATGGAAAAGTGTGTAGCTGATAAAAGGCTAAGGTGGACCACACAATGACAGAAAAGAGCAACAATGTATATAGTGCACACTTATGTGTAACAAACAAAACCATGTGTGTGGGGTGGGGTGTGTTTTCAAGGCCAGGAAGGAATTCACCAATTAACAGTAGTTACTCTTGCAATTGAAAGGGTAGAAGATGGCATGTTCCATTAAATTTTAATGACTTATGGTATTTTAAAAACTGCCGAAGAGTTCATGCTCCCTCACAGCCTTGAGGGAGCGCCGGCCACCACTAGCAGGACCGTGAAGGTGGCCGGCACGAAGCCTGGCGCGCGGCTGGCCCATAACCAATGACGGTTTCCTTCCTTCCACCCACCGCTTTACTTTTTACAAACACTGCAGCTATTTATTTATTAGGTGTGTGTACATTAAGGTATTACTATACTGATTATATTTCTCATGTGGTTTCTCATTAGAAAAAAGGATCCAAAAGCAAAACAGCACACGTACATACAAACTTAAAAAACAAAGACAGAGAAGATAGAAATTAATAGATGAGGCAAATGTTGGGGCGCCTGAGTGACTCAGTCAGGTAGGCGTCTGACTCTTGGTTTTGGCTCAGGTCATGATCTCATGGGTCATGGGATCGAGCCCCCGAGGCAGGCTCCATGGGGGGCTGCTTGAAGATTCTCTCCCTCTGCCCCTCCCCCCACGTGTACTCTCACTCTCTCTGAAATAAATAAATAAATCTTTGAAAAAAATAGATAAGGCAAATGTGGGTATCAGGGCAGATACTGGAAACAAAACAGAAACCACCATCCTATGAACTTATCCTACAAACACAACTGTGCATCCTCAGCACCGGGAATACTGTGTACAGTGCTGATGGATTTCTAATAAGAAAGATGTCATGAAACTGGAGGAGATCCAAGGAAACGCAGCTGAAAAGATCAAGGGAACAGGGAGTCTGCCACGTGAGGAGAAGCCAAAAGGATTGCGTACAGTTCTTCAGCCGGGATGATAAGCCCACAGTTGCAGTCATTTTGAAGCTTGGCCAACACATTGAATGGTATGGATAAGAACAGAATAATTACACCTTGATCACAAAACCGTACAAGACCAGCAGAAGGGAAGACCCCAGAAGACACCTGGGCACTAGCTGGGGACAAGTGCAGGCAAATGGCCCACTGCGGTAGGAAGTAAACTTAGCACACACTTTAAGAGGCAAGTTGGCACGCGCTGCGCCTGTGACAAGGAGAACGGAGCAGGCATGCAGAACGGAGAACACGCATCACCGTCCCCGAGAGTGGGGCAGGATGGGGTCTTCAGTTGGGGTTGCGCTGGCAACAGCTGCCGAGACCCCGTTAGCCTCCTCACCATCAACCTGGTTTCCTGACAAGCTGAGTGAGTCCGCTCCTCATCATCCAGAGAGCTCAGAGAGAAACTGAAAATATGAACGAATCCACAACTCAAAGGCAGGGACAGTTTGCCAAGGGAGACGGAATCCCTGCCAGTCTGTGTGGCCCCACTACAATCCCTCTTAGCACCAACATCCACCGTGGACATGCTGAGGGGCTCTCAATATTGTCACTCTCAATAGCAGTCTGCAAAGAATAACAATGACACTTCCCCAGGGTGTCAAAAACAGATGCTGGTGTTGTGGGACCTGACCCAAGGCAGCAGCCCCCGGGACCCTCGACCAGCAAGTTGGCCTAAGCTCAGACCCAAAGCATCAGGCAGCAACGGAAAAATGGCCCCCATTGTCCCCAACTGCTCCCCAACTCTATGCAGGGCAGGCTTCGAAAGGTGGCAAATGAAAGCTGACCTCCAGTGCCAGGCTCCCTGTGCCCATGAGAGGCAAAGCCAACGGGCCACATGCGTGCCAACTTACCAGGGCTTCCACTCCACAGGTAGTGGGGCCACAATGCCCTCCCGTGCCAGCCACATCAGCTCTGGTTCCTTGATGGGATCAATACCAATCTCTCTGGCGAATTCAAGAATTTCTGCAAGAAGAGGCAGGAGGATGAGAAAGGAAGAAAGTTGGGGATGTGCATAGAAAGAAGAAAAAAAATCACAATCAACCTTGTGCAATAATAAGAAATATACATGTTGGTCTCTGCCCCCAGTTCCTGTTACTATTTGGCCTTTGACCCCAGTTCCTGACCCAGAGCTCCGAAAGCCCCTGGAACTTCCTGAGTAACAGAAGCATCTTTTCTTCCAATGAGGTGACTCTGGGTGGGCTCCTGGATGGGGGCTGGTCCCCAAAGAGACCAAGCCATGATTAGAACCTTGGAACTTACAGCAGCACCTGGCTGGCTTAGCCGGTAGAGCATGCAACTCTTGATCTCGGGGTTGTGAGTTCAAGCCCCACTCTGGGTGTAGAAATTACTTAAAAATAAAATCTTGGAAAAAAGGGGGGAGGGGCCCACCTGGGTGGCTCAGTCAGTTAAGCATCTGCCTTGGGCTCAGGTCATGATCCACGGGGTCCTGGGATTGAGCCCCGTGTCAGGGGAACCTGACTTCTCCCTCTGCCCCTCCCCCCGCTCGTGTGCTCGTAATAAATAAATAAATAAAATCAACCTTAAAAAAAATAAAAGATGATGCTTGGAACTTTCAGCCTCACTCCCATCCTCTGGAGTGGGGAGAGGGGCTGGAAAAGGAGTTAATGATCGATTATGACTCGGTGAAGAAGCTTCCATAAAACCCTAAACTATGGGGCTCGGAAAGCCTCTGGGTTGGTGAATACAACCACGTGCCAGGGGGGTATTGCATCTCGAGCCCACAGAGACAGAAGCCCCTGCACTTGGAGCCCTCTCAGACCTCACCCTAAGTATCTCTTCATCTGGCTATTCATCTGTATCTGTTATGATATCCTTTATTATATAATAAACTGGCAAACAGAAGTTTTAAGTGTTTCCCTGAGTTCTGTGGCCTGTTCTAGCAAATTATCTAACCCAAGGAGGGGGACATGAAACTCTGGTGTCTCGCTTGTTGGTCAGAAGTACCAGGGGCAGCGGCACCCGGGTGGCTCAGTCGTTAAGCGTCTGCCTTTGGCTCAGGTCATGATCCCAGGGTCCTGGGATCGAGCCCACATCGGGCTCCCTGCTCCGCGGGAAGCCTGCTTCTCCCTCTCCCACTCCCCCTGCTTGTGTTCCCTCTCTCACTGTGTCTGTCAAATAAATAAATATTAAAAAAAAAAAAAAAAGACCAAGACATCAGTGTGGCAGGGGCCTGGGGAAGAAGCCCACCAGCCACAGCCAGAACCATCCTGAATGAGGGCAGCCTTACTGGGACACAGGCTCTCCCAAGATTTCCAAAATCTTGCTGCAAAAGTGCTCGTCACTCAATCAACTGGCATGGACTGAACTAGAGAAGACGAAGCCCCTTGAGGACCCTACTGACACACGAACAGAGTCTAAACCATGGGGTAGGTGTTTGAATGGAGATATGCACTGTGTGCCATGGGAGCAGAGACAAAGCAGTGACTTCTTCTGCATGGGGCCAGGGGACATCTGAGCTGAGAAAGTGGGATGATACTTAAGCAGCCTTGCTCTCCACTCTGAACGCTCTCTCCCATGACATGAAGGTAGTTGTTTCTTTTCCAATTTTGCTATATATTATGGACTCTGAGACTTGTGTTATACTCCTTCAGAAAGCATTTAGAAAGCTCTTTCATCAGAGATCTGGAGGAACAGGGGAGATGTATGTACTGAGCTAAGAGCTAGCTTACTTACAGGGAAAAAGATAGATGAACTAACCACTGGAATATGTCACCAGAGCCCCCAGGAATAATGAAATAAATACATCGATGCTTCAGATGACAATAGCCCAGGCCAGAAAGGCATCACCAGTTTGGGTCATCTCAGGGAAGAATGTGGAGGTTGACACACCTGGGGACTAGGGAAGAAAAAGCACTTTTTCAAAGGACCAGCTGGAATTTGGCTTGCCAGAGACTAACTTATTCGCAGATCTCACAAATATTTTTTGAGTGCTTCCTATGTGCTAGGCATAAGAGAAATGGTCTCTGCCTTTATGGAGTCTATATTCTAGGAGAAGAAACCACCAGTAAAGAAGTAAACAGATAAATATACAAAGAATTAAAGTTTCTGATAAAGGTAATGAAGGAAGTAAATGAGGTATGAGATAGAGAACGTCAAGGTGAAGGGGGCACTCCTTTGGAAAGGGTCAAGGGAAACCTCTCAGAACGGAACACAACTGAAATCTGTAGGAGACAAGGGAGCTAGCCATGCAGAGCACTGAGGAAAGAGCACTCAGGCAGAAGACCAGGTGCAAAGGGCCTGTGGCAAGTGGCTACGCTGAATATAATAGAATATTACTAAAAGCAGAGCCCTGATATGATCTGTTTTACACTGTAAGAACACTCTGGTGCAAAGTGGACCATAAATAGGAAGGCTAACATGCGGGCCCTTTCCTGAGGACACCTGGCTGTGGGTCCTGGTTGCACCACTCAGCAGACCTGTGCATGAAGGGGAGTTAGTTCACCTTCCTGTGCCTCATTTCCTCATCTGTAAAATGGGAATGATAACACTACCTAACTCATGGAGCTGCTGCGAGGGTTGAAAAGGAAGTACATGCAGGGCTCCTGGCTGGCTCAGCTGAAGAGCATGAACTCCTGATCTCAGGGTTTTGAGTTCAAGCCCCACGTTAGGTATAGAGATCACTTAAATAAGTTAAAAAAAAAAAAAAAAAACTTAAAAAAGCAAAGGAAATACATGTAAAGTCCTTAGCACAGAGACTGGCACAGAGGAGAACTCAGTAAATTCTGTTATTATTGCTGTATCAAAACAAAACAAAACACTGCTTTAGTTTTCTTCTTAAGAAATTGGGTCACCCAGGGGTGCCTGGGTGGCTCAGTTGGTTAAGCGACTGCCTTCGGCTCAGGTCATGATCCTGGAGTCCCGGGATCGAGTCCCGCATCGGGCTCCCTGCTCAGCAGGGAGTCTGCTTCTCCCTCTGACCCTCTTCCCTCTCGTGCTATCTCTCTCTCTCTAATAAATAAATAAAATCTTTAAAAAAAAAAAAAGAAATTGGGTCACCCTTGGCTTCAGGACACACTGTATTTCATGGTATCCCCTATTATATTTTCTTTCTTTTTTTTAAGACGGACTTCACTTTTAAAATATGTATTTATTCATTTATTTACTCATTCATTCATTCATTTATTTATTTTAAGGTTTTATTTTTAAGTAATCTCTACGCCCAATGTGGGGCTCGAACTCACAACCCTGAGATCAAGAGTCGCATGCTCTACCGACTGAGTCAACCAGGCACCCCTATATTTTCATTTAAAATCAATCATTGATCAGGGCGCCTGCGTGGCTCAGTAGATCAAGTGTCTGCCTTTAGCTCAGGTCGTGATCCCAGGGTCCTGGGATAGAGCCCCACACCAGCCTACTTGCTCAGTGGGGAGTCTGCTTCTCCCTCTCCCCATGCTCGTTCTCTCTCTAATAAATAAATAAAAATAAATAAAAATTTAAAAATTAAATTAAATTAATCACTGATCCAACCCAAGGTCAGCAAACTTTTTCTGTAAAGGGCCAGACAGTAAATATTTTAGGCTTTGTGGGTGATAGGGCTCCTGTCACAACCACTCAACACTGCCCTTGTGCCATGAAAGCAGCCACAGACAATACATAAGCATGGCTATTTTCTAAATAAAACTTTATTTACAAGAAGGCAACAGGCCAGGTTAGGTCCATAGACTACAGTATTCCAACCCCTGATCTAACCAAACATACGGAGAGTACGCTGATCTAACCAAACATACGGAGAGTACGCTGCACACGCAGCGTACTTCGTATTAGAAGGACAAAGCTCAATCAGAGATAATTTCTGCCCTCGAAGAACTATTACAGGGCACCCCAGACTTCTTACCTTGCTCACTGGGGATGTAGGTCTCATCATAATCTTCCTCCAGAACCAGCTGGTCTCCTATGCGGATGGGTCTTCCCGCCATGATTGTTCTGGGCTCGAACACCTAGGTCCCAAAGACCTGCACCCAAAGAGAACATCAGTGACCCAGCTTAAAAGGGGAAAAACTGGAGCTGCGTCATGGAGCACCTGGATCAGACCAGACCATGCAAGCTAACTTAACCGGGGATTTTCCAACTCCAGAGACAGCGAAGGGTGGGACCCACGGCTCAGAACTCAGGCCTTCTAGGCTCTGCACCTGGGAAAGTTCCTGGAGACACACCTTCCAAAGGCTTGCTGAACACTCGGTGGGTCACAAAAGATCTGGAAACCCAGCCCTCTCAAGAGTTTGACTTCATACCCGCCCCCAACACAGGAGAAATAATTCATAGTGTAGGACCCCCAGCTAGAAAACCCTAGTGAAACACCAAAGGAACTAGCAACACCCCTCCCGTATATACTAATGTATCCCAGTGCGGTCACACTGTCTCAACACACATCCCTATTTGCATTCAGCAATGCCCTCAGGGAGCTTACGATCTAGTGGAAGTAGCAAACACAACTTCAACAGTAGAAGGCAGAAGGGGAATAAAACCATCTTGCTCTTTGGAGGTACTGAGAGAGAAGGAACATTCCCGCTGAAGGGAGGAAGGCAGGCTTTTTCAAGGGACTGGGGACCAAAGGCAGTCAAGAGTCGTGTAAGCGGAGGAGGTGTTCTAGGCAAGGGGGCGTCGGGTGCAGACGAGCGGTTCTGGAGCACTGGACACCAGCAGGCATAGCAGGGGCTAGGGTGGAAAGCCAGGTCGTGGCAGAGAGCCGTGCAGACCATGCGAAAGAGCCTCGCCTCTCCGCTGTGGCAGAGGGGAGCCACTGAGGGCTTTGGTGAAAGAAAGTGGCACAGAGTGGCCTTTTTCTAGGATGAGAAGGCTGGCAGGAGGGGCATGGCAGGACCGGGGGAATGAGACTGGTGTCGGGAAAACCACGGAGGAGGCCACCATCCAGGGGAAAGACAACAAGGCCTTAAACAAGGGCAGAAGCAGAGAGAAGGCAGAAGGGACAGATGCTGCAAGGGCAGGTTTAACAGGACCAGGAAGGAGGACGGGGGTGGAAAGTTTCCAACTGGAAACCAAGGTTTGTAGCTCCAGGGATGGGACAGAGTCGAATTGTTCAACTGACAAGCTGGCCCCGTTCTAGAATTACTCCTCCCTTCCAATCCCTCCTCCTATAACTACCTCAGGACCCCGGGTCACAACTCTTCCCTACGGCAGCTCCCACACTGAAGCTCCCGATGATGCAGAGACAAGTCACCCTGTAAAGTGGCTGTGGTGTATGGCACCGCTGGGAGAGCTGTCGCCACCCTGATGTGACCAGGGCCTGACCTCTTCAGAAGTTGACACTGTTCCACCGGGAACAGCGAGCACAACGCAGCCCTCTTATAGCTGGGGCAGGGAGCAGCAAGACCCTGTCATCCAAAAGGAGGTCAGGATGCGTCCTCTAATGAGTGCTCATGGCCCGATCTGGTGGCTCTGAATCTGTCCCCAGACCCCTAGAGAGGGACCCCTGATAAACAGCACCGGATATAGGAGGGACCATTACTATGGTCCTCTCTGTACCCTGACAGCTGACAGATGAGCAAGGAAGGTATCTTGCCTTAGGACTCATGAGAGATGGCTGCCTCTGTCAGCCCACTGCAGCCAAGGGAGTCAGGCTCTGCCCCCCTCCCATTTCCCCTGTGACACCTCCAAGCACTAACTTCGTGCCTCAGGAAGACAGGCTAATGGAAGAAGCATTCTCCTCTGCAGTACATCAACCCAAGTGGAGATCTGCTTCCTACCCAAAGAACCCATAACACCCTGCGCAAGTAATGTTCCCTCCACACACAGTCAGAGAGAAGTGGGGTCACCGACTCTGGAAAAGCAGAGCAGAAAGGTACCAGAAACCAGGGTGGTTGATGTGGCTTAAGGAGCCACTGGAATCTTGAATTCTCTGAGTTAGGGAGGAGAGGGAAAGGGAAAGGATCTCTGGGGACATCAGCCTAGCCACCATTCAATCCAACAGGGCAGTGATCTTTACAAGGCACCGTATCAGCCATCTCAGGTCATTGGAGAAATCCCACATTTGAGAGATGTCACATATCCCTAGACATATCCCACCTCGGGAAAGCATGGGGCAAGTAAAATCTCTTTGTGGCAGAATACCTACTTAGCTATATGTAAAGGTCAGGAAAAACCAGGAAAATCTAAATTCATGGATCATTCCAATATCAAACAAATCTTCCGTCAGAAAAAAATTAAGATGTGGGTGGGCTACGTTCTACCTCCTCTCTTTGCCTTGCCTGCCTTAAGAAAGGGTGTGGGTAAGGGCAGGACCCAAAGGACAGGAGCTATAGGAATGAGGAAGGTGGTGGGAAGAGAAATCCTATGCCTCTAATGGCTACTAGAGATCATTTATCCATTCGAGAATATTTACGGAGCACCTATTAAGTTTACTTCTTGCTGGCACTAGAGATGCGTGAGGAGTAAAAACACCTGCAAGCGAACAGAGCGTACTTACGCACACATATGCATAAGGCGAGTTCCCTGCGTCTGGATTTCCTCCCCTCTGCGGGACCAGTTACAGACAAGGTACAGCAGGGACAAGCGCACTTACTGAAGAAGGCACTGGGCAGAAGGTGGGAGGAATCAGAGGTGATTATGTAGTGGCAACTGAGCACAGGCCTGGGAACATTCTTGCCTCTTGAATCCCAGCTCTGCCACTTACCAGCAGGGCAAGCTGCCTCAGTTTTCTCATCTGTAAAATGGAGATAACAAGGGCTATCCCAAAGGGTTGTGAGAATCAAATTATGTCATACATGGGGGACACCTGGGTGGCTCAGTCAGTTAGGCCTCTGACTCTTGATTTCGGCTCAGGTCACGATCTCAGGGTCACGAGATCGAGCCCCAAATCTGGCTCCACACTCAGCTGGGAGTCTGCTTGAGATTCTCTCTCTTCCTCTGCCCCTCCCCCGCTCACACTCACTCTTGCACCGGCTCTCTCTCTAGAAAAAATAAATCTTTAAAAAAATAAAAATAAGGGGCGCCTGGGTGGCTCAGTCATTAAGCGTCTGCCTTCGGCTCAGGTCATGGTCCCAGGGTCCTGGGATCGAGCCCCGCATCGGGCTCCCTGCTCCCCGGGAGGCCTGCTTCTCCCTCTCCCACTCCCCCTGCTTGTGTTCCCTCTCTCGCTGTGTCTCTCTCTGTCAGATAAATAAAAAAATCTTAAAAAAAATAATAAAAATAAATTATTCAATACATGTAAAATACTTAAAACATAGTAAGCTCTCAATAAATGTGAGTTGTTGTTATTACTGTAACTATATATATATATATATTTGAAAGCCCTATTCTACCTTGTTCCAGAGGACAGATCGAGTACCAGGGAATGTAAGTGAAGGCCTTTCCAACATTCAATGACCACTTATTGAACACCTACCATGGGCTGGCACTGTGCTAACTGTTAGGGCTACAAGCCTGATTACACAAGGTCCTGAACTCCAGCTGAGCCTCACTAAGAAGCCAAACACATAAAGACATGGTTGTAGAATGTGTGAAGCACCTTAAGTAATAGGAGGTACAACAGGAAACCAAGGTAGGGATGACTAACCTTATTTTGGAAGATCAGGGAAAGCATCAGAGTAAAGAATCAATGAGAGGGCTCTTCAAGAATAAGCAGGAGCTCACCAGGATAAGGGAATAGAAGGCAGAAGAAACAGCATGCGCAAAGGCAAAGGGGCAGGAAGAACACGGTGGGTGCAGAGAATTCATTATGACAACAAAAGTTTATATTCACTGAACACTTCCTATGTTCCAAGAACGGTCCTAATGCTGTATATACATCATCTCACCTCGCCCTCTCCAAGAGGTAGAAAATATTTTCCCCGTTTTTCAAATAAGGAAAGTGAGGCTCAACAAGGTTAAATAAAAAAGAACAACTTGCCCAAGGCTTCACAGATGGCAAAGGGCACAGCATAACATGCATGCTGCCCCCACGTCTCTCTGACCCCAAAGCCTGAGGTCTTAAGCCCTCTGACCCGATCAGAACGCAAGGGACAATGGGAGAAGCGGCAGGAGCGAGATCTACCGTGGAAGGCCAGGAGCACACTATAAAGGGCTTGGGAGGATTTAGGTTGTATCCTGTGTGTGATGAGGAGCCAGCACAGGATTTCACAAAGGAGACTGGCATGATCAGATCTGCAGTTTACCAAGATATTCTGACAGCGGGCTAAGAACTAATTAATTTCAGGAGGGCAAGAACAGAAGCAGAGCGACCACTTAGGAAGCTTTCCCGAAAGCACAGGCAAGAAATTATGAACTAAGCCAGTGGCTGTGAGAAAGGAAGGACCAGATGCGTACGGTATTAGGAGGCAGAATAACAGGACTTGAAGTCTGCAGCAAGCGAAGAACAGGGAGGAGGGAAATCAGGGCACTTAGACCAGTATGGGATTATCTGTTGGCTTCTATGCCTTGCCCAATAGCCCCACCTAGCACACTCCCTAGAATATAAGAAATGCCCAGCAAATGTTTGCTGCGTATATCCCATGAATGAATTCCAGGTGCAGACCTGGCTGGGTGAACGGTGAAGTCCTTCACTGACACTGGAACTACAAGAGGAGGCACAGATCTGGGGGGCTAGGATGGTGGCGGAGGCATGCAGCTGGAGATGATCAGTAAGCAGGTCCGAGCTCAGGAAAGCGGTGTGACGAGCTCACCGCAGTTAAATAGGTGGTCAATGAACTTGCGGGGGAAATCACCCAGTTGCGGCCTATGGTGAGCGGAAAAGACAGGCCTGAGAAGAGTTAGGAGACCCGGGAGCAAGGAGTCGTGGAAGCCAAGTGAAGGCTGCCATTCTAGGTGGAGGAGGGAGATTTTTTTAATCAGTACAAGTAAAGGAAAGGAAAAACAAACCTCCAAAACTTCCTGACTTCCCCAGCCGGCCCAAAGACGGCAGAAGGTCGGGCTAGCCCTGGATTCGGGCACGGGGGAAGCTTCCCCACGAGAGAGGTATTCCAGCGAGGTTCGGAGGCCGGGCCTCACATTCCAACCATGGACAGGACAAGTAAACGGGCGCCCCAGCAAGCTCACACGCTGTCACTCGCGCTCGGGGTCGCCGCTCGCTCCCCGCCGGCACCCCAGCCCAGCCTAGCGCCCCTTCCGCCACTCGGAGAGATTCTGGATGGATGCACCCTCGTCCGGCCGCTCCTTCCCAACCTCTCCCTCCAGTTCCCGCCCACACTCGTGCTCCTCCCGCCCGCGGACACACAAGTGTGTCCCAACTCTCCCGCTTCCCTCCTTCCCCGCCACCCGACCGCTCCCTGGAGTAGGTCCTCACCTGTCCCCCGCCCCGGGAAGCACTGGGCCACCGCGCCCGGCTCTGCGCAGCTTCCCCAGCACCACCCCGGCTCCCCGCTTCCAGGGACGCCGGGGTGTTGCCCTGCAGCGGCCCACAACCACTTCCGGAAAGGGTACCAACCTAGCAACTGAGAGTCCCGCCTCTACACGGAGCCAATAGGTCGCTGAACGAGGGTCGTGGCACTGGATTGGTTAGAGGTCCCGTCGGGTCACGGAGAAATTATGCACGTTTCCCGTTGCACGATGGGAGTTGTAGTCCAAGATAGTTGGGGTCGTAAGAGAGCTCTGAATTTGGTTAGGAGAGGAATTTCTTCCCCGAGCAGAAAAGAGTCATTCACAGTATTTATGGTAACGCGAATTAATTAAGGCAATCTATTCGTCATCATTGTTTAAGTAGTGTGATTAATATCAGGTGAATAAGACACTGATCATCAGTAACCTGTTGAGTCTCTAATAAACAGGTAAGGGGAGACCACCTCCCTCACCCCCGCAGAAAACGCTTCCCTGTGCTCAGATGAGATCGGTGAGCCCTTAACCAGGATTTAAGAGCTGTGGTTTCCGTTGTTTACCTTTTCACCCAGAGCGCAGGGCTCAGTTTGAATGTCTGCAACACTGGGGATGATAACATCTCTCATGAGTATTTCAAAGAGTCTGTTTAGGAAGCAAAAAGTGACAGGGGTTCCTGGCTGGCTGGGGGCGGGGGGGGGGGGGGGGTGGGGAGTGCCTGCGACTCTTGATTTTGGAGTCGTGACTTGGGGCCCCACGCTGGGTGTAGAGATGACTTAAATTCTGAAGAAGAAGAAAGTGACACAATGTGTAGCCCCCTCCACAGCTCTGTCTGGCAAAAGGGTTGCTATTAATATAATCCCAAAGAGCTTAAGTTTGCTTAGGTGGAGGGCAAATCTTTTCCCTCAAATGTCTTCAATCTCCTAGAGAAGTTAATGGGGGCAAAGAAGTTAAGAGGGCCATTACACCAATGGGAAACTGGGGCGGGGGGGGCACAGAAAAGTGAACTTTCCAGTTGGAGAGAATGAAGCACCTAGAGCAGATCCTGACAGTTCTGTTGTGGAAATGGATCTGACTCCTACCAACTCCTGGCTCCTACCAACTCCTACCAACTCCTAAAACCACTAGGCCCTGGTCCCAGAATGTGGAACTCAGGTCGTTGTCCCTGTAGATCCCAAGTCAGACATCCAGAATGTATTCTTCTTGTTTAACTTCAGCTCTTTCTGTGGCAGCTCTGCCTCTACTTCCTTTATTCTGCCGGCAGATGACAAATCATTGCTCCCCTTCCTCTCCACACTCCTTAAAAGTCTCCCTGAGGGGCAAGAGGGACAGACTGGGATAGGACTCTGAGGGCTCACCCCCTCATCCACCACAGACCTTATACAAAACATGATCCAAAAAAACTATTGGTAGATTTGGTCTCTATGTCCCAGAACTTGTAATCAATCTGGTTGACTTTAATTGCCATCAAAATTCTTAACTTTTATTCCTTAACATGGGTCCCTTTCTATCTCATGGGGAGAGCTAATAAAATCAGGGTCACCAAGGGATTAATGGGATTACCCCCACACAGATAAACAATTTGCATTTTATCAGGTTTCCCTATAGGTTTGTTCTTCGAAATGCAAACCAATTTATAAAATGCTCTTAGGTAAACACAATCAAGAAAGCAAATCTTTGGGGGAAAATAACAAAAATGACACACCAATTGATATGCCAGTAATATACCCAATGAGTGAGGAAGAGAGAGAGAGAATTTTATCCATTGTAGGTTAGCTTCTGCACTCAAATATGTGGGAGGGAGAAAACAAAATAGGTCCCAAAATTTATGCCATACCCCCAAGTCAGAAATTTCACCGTTAGAACATTTTCTTCTCTTTTCATACTGTTTACTTGTAATATACAGAAAATCACCCACATAATAAGAAAGAAAAACCCTTGTTAACCCTACGATTTTTTAAGGATGTAAAGATATGAAATGTGCCCTCTACTCTTTCAATCCACCACATTTAAAATTGGAAACTGCCCTTCTACATCTCTTCTCTGCTTTATTTTCCCCCATAGTGTATATCACCATCTGAAACACTGTATATTTTATTTATTTATTTATTTTTACTATCTGTCTCCCTATGGAAGATGTGAATTGCATGAGGACAGGAATTTTGTCCATTTTATTTATCGCTGTATCCACAGTGCCTAAAACAATGCTTAGCATGTAGCAGGTTTTCAATACACACTTGCTGAATGAATAAATAAGCCAATTGAAGGAAGGAATTTCACACTTCAGAGGAAACCACTGTTGACATTTTGGTTTCTATCTTCCTGACTTTTTAATGTTTATGCAAATGTAAATTTATATGCAGGCATATATATGCACACGTGCATCTTTTTTAATTTTTGCAGAAATGAGATCATAACATACATATTGTTCTACAATGTGCTTTTTTTCACTTAACATCTTTCAAGGTGAGTTCATAATGAGTTACTCCATTCTTTATAATGGTGAAGTAGGATTCCATTAAATGAATGTCTCCTTCCCCTACAGGTAATCATTCATTTTGTTCCCAAAGTTTCGGTATTAAGTACATGCTGAATACATTGAATTCATTGGATAGGATCTTAGAAATGACATTGCTCAAAGAGTTTACATTTTTTTACGTTCTAATAGGCATTGCCAAATTTCTCTCTAAAAACAGAACAATTTTAGCCCGACCAGCACTTTCACCAACACCAAAAATTTCCGGTGTGAGAGACAATCAATCAGTAATGGTATCTAAATGTTGTTGTGACTGCATTCTTTCACTATTAATGAAGTTGAACTTTTTCCCAAATGTTTGTTGGCCATTTGAATTTCTTCTGTTAATTATCGATTCACATTCTTTGTTCACGTTTCAGCCATGTTGGTTGGGGATTTTATTGACTTGTAGATGCTCTTTGTATACTACAGACATTAACCCTTTGTCTCTTTATTATGTGACAAATGTCTCCTACTCTGTGACTTATCTTTTAACTTTGTAAATGTCATTTTTCATTTTGTAAATGTTGTAGTGATAATAACGCTAATAGCTAAAATTTACTGAGCATTTACAGTATGCCGGACACCATTCTAAGCGCTTTATATGGATTATCTCATTTAAATCTTACATTACAAGGTATGTACTACTGTTATCCCCATTTTACAAATTGAGACCTACAAAGGGTAAGGAACTAGCCTGGGGTCTCCCAGGTTCTAAGTGGAAGAACCAGACTTTGAATACCAGAAGTGATTCTACAGAAGTTTTAAAAATTCAAGTAGTCAAACCTGCCCATTAAAAAAAACAAAAAACAAGAACTCTTGAGTTTTGTTAGAGAGACCTTCTTTAACATAAGAATATTAACTATTCCTCTATTTTTTTCTGTAGTTTTATTTTTCATGTTAAACCCTTTGATCTGTCTGAAATTTATTTTTACGTGAGATAGAGATTTCGTTTTCTTCCCTTCCAAATGGATAGCCAATTGTTCCAAAAACAGTTATCGAAAGATATATCAATTTCTTTTTGATATGAATGTCATCTTTTTTTGTATGATCTAAGTACTTTTTATTTTTTTATTTTATTTTTCTATTTTCTTTTTTTATATAATACCCAGTGCTCATTACATCATGTGCCCTCCTTAATGCCCATCACCCAGTTACCTCCATCTCCCCACCCCTCTCCCGTCCGGCATCCCTGTTTGTTTCCTATGATTAAGAGTCTGTTAGGGGGCACCTGGGTGACTCAGTGGGTTAAGTGTCTCCTTAGGCTCAGGTTATGATCCCAGGGTCCTGGGATTGAGCCCCAAATCAGGTTCCCTGCTCAGTCAGGAGCCTGCTTCTCCCTCTCCCTCTGCCTGCAACCCCCCTGCTTATGCTCTCTCTCTCTCTCTAATAAATAAAATAAAATCTTTAAAAAAAAAAAGTCTCTTTGCGTTGTCTCCCTCTCTGATTTTGTCTTGCTTAATTTTTTCCTCTCTTCCCCTATGATCCTCTGTTTTGTTTCTTAAATTCCGCATATCAGTGAGATCATATGCTAATGGTCTTTCTCTGATTGACTTATTTCACTTAGCATCATACCCTCTAGATCCACCCACATCGTTACAAATGGCAAGATTTCTTTTTTTTTTTTTGATGGCTGAGTAGCATCAATGTCATCTTTATCATATACAGAATTTCCATGCATACATTGATCTATTGATTTTTTAAAATCGATTTTTATTTTTAAACTTGTGTCTAATCACCTTGTTGGTTAGGATTTTCTACTCATATCATATCTGCAAGTAAGCATTCCTTTGCTTTCTGATATATTTTGTAATTGCTCCATGCATTTATTAGCTAATATTAATGCCACAAAGAGGGAACAAAATCTCACAAACACTCTATACAGTTTTACAAGACACACTACAGGGGAAAATGTGACTTAGAAAGATTGACAGTATCTTCGGGTCTTGGTGGACGCGTTCCTGGGGGGGAGTGGACCTCTAATTCCTGGTGGAGAGGGTCTCATTCCTGGAGGGGGCATGCCTTGAGTGGGGCATCCTTCGAGCATGGGGGACCCAACTGGTGGGCCCATGGGCGGTCCCATACCAAGTAGAGGGGCCATAAGTTCTGGAAGTGGTGTTGCTCGGCTCTCAGGAGTGGGTGGGGTCACCCATCTAGACGGGTATTGAGTTGGGGCTCCAGCATTGCTGGCAGGAGCTGCAACTGCACAGATGCTATAGCACCTCTTCCCTGAAGCCCCCCAACCCCTCAGACAGGGCCTGCTAACCCAACAGGAGCCTGGGGAATTGGAACAGCCGCTGGCACCCCAGGGCCTCCTGCAGCTCCAACAAGTGGTACCCAAGCAATGCCAGTATCTTTGGGGGGTGGTCCCCCCACAGTCATGGAAACCACGTTCTCCCCATGTAGCCACACCAGACCCCAAACCCGCTTTTCTTCATGGTCTGGCTGCTTCAGATTCTTGGGCTTGGTCTTCCTGAATTCATCACAATCACAGAGGATCAAGTTCATATGCTTGGCGAAAGCCTTAAAGGTGCCAATGAATGTGCCAGTGGCTTGGTCAGT